TATATATATGTGTGTGTGTGTGTGTGTGTGTATATATAATACATATACGAACAGTTTTGTGACAAAACGTGACAAACACGACTTTCGAAGCTTGGCCGAAACTACTACCATCATATATCTAGAAAGGTGAGGCATATTCCAGAATCAACTTTTTTTTCTTCACAAAACACGATTTTCCATCATCAAAGAACAGCAGAAAGTTGAGCTTTTTATTCTTACAAAATGCAACAAAAACGTTAGAGCTCTTTTGACAAACTGTGACATATCCTCTGTGCGCCAATCAAGTTCTTTCTTCGAGTTACAGGACTTTGCTTGTGGTTGACGAAAGTTTGTTGGCGGTTTTTTCCCTTCCTTACAGTATTAAAGCGAATATGTCATGTTTTGTCAAAAAATGTGTGGATATTTCATCAATTTAAAGGATAATAATCCGATACAGATTTCATCAACTAGCAAATATCAACTAATCTTTATATCATGTTTACTCTAAAAACCAAAATTGAGTAAGATTATTCAGTAAATGGGGGAAGAATAGAAATCTTAAATTTTCTCAAAACTTGAAAAATAGGATATGTCGCATTCTGTCGCGAAACTGTTCATATTATATTATATATACATAGTGAGCTATTATACATTTTGTACGGGTGAAAATTTCTTTGTCCCTCGACACATCAAGTGGAATCGGTAAAGTAAAAGACCACGTGTGGGAAGAAACAGATAGTGAGGGTTCACTGACCCGAGTCACTTGACTGGTGTGCCATTGTATCCTCGCTAAATCGTGTTAATGAGGCCCAACGGATCATTTAAGTCTTTGATGTGTTGTATTAAAACTCTGCATGCAAAGGTAGTCCACATTTCGATATTCCATAAATAAAAGTGGAATACTAGAGTATGTACTTTTTTTTTTCTCTTTTCTTTTTTGGGCACAGAAGTTTCTAAAAAATGTTCCATACATAGAAGTATAGTGTCCAACCGAACATGTAGAGGTTATATATATCCTGTTTGCACTGCCAATTGGGTCTAATCGCATTTAGTCGGGGCCCGACATTTTTCTCTCTATGAAGGGCCAAAAGCTAACATTTTGACACAATACGCCACCAATTCGACTCGCGACCTTGAAAAACAAACAAGTTTGATTTTGAAGGTTACAGTCGAATTTAGCTGAATTCAATTGAATTAATCCAAAACATTCGCTTTTGCTCTCTCCATGAAAGTACAGCCTGACTGGCAAAGGCTCAATCAAATGAATTTGATCGGTAAAGTGCACCTAGTATAGCACAAAACAAGTGCCACAGGTTTCCGCCCCACCGTGTTGCCATCCACTCATCATGGGTGGTTGGTGGGTGCTTTTGTTTGGTTTTCTCCTTCTTTCCTATCAAACATTTATTGTCCCTTTCTCTTGTTTGTTCGTTTTAGTAGAGGTTTTACGGGGCTCACAACTGCACATGAGCGCCAGAAGATTACAGGTGTTACAAGAGAGTAACAAACATAAAAAAGAAGAAGGGGGAGATAAGGACGATAGATATTTGATAGGAAAAAAGAACCAAACCACTCCAGAGCACCCGCCAACCACCCACTCCCTTTCTCTCCTCAATCTCTTTGTATGCTACTCTCTAGTATCAACGTCTAATCTTCGAAATTTGTAAGACTTATTTGTGCTGATAGTGCTGTAAAACTCCTACTAAAACTGAAACAAATTCACTCACCTGTCCTTGTACTCATGCCTGTAGGCGTTCTCTAGTTCTGGGTCAAAGGTCAGCAAGTATTTATGCAGGCTGGGCTTAAAGAAGGCCTCGTTCTCCTCGTTCTCTTTCTCGATCAGCTGTGAAGACAAATCATCAATAATAATAACAACATTATTATTATTATTATTATTATTA